ATATATATATACACATATATATATATATACACATATATATATACACATATATATATACACATATATATATACACATATATATATACACATACATATATCTTTATGTCATATATCCTGGCTGAAGAGACATGAACGTGTGAGCGATAAATTGTCAGACAGCGCAAATTTTTACAAATATTAAATAATAATACAAATAAACAAATGGACATAATTTGATGCTTTATTGCTCAGTAGAAAATCAATTGCACTTCAAAGATGTGTCTTTACAAGATGGTGTTCCTTCAATAAAAGATTCTTGCAGTTCATCTGCACACAGTGCAGGAATAATTGTTTCAAATTGTTTCCAGTTTCCACAGAGTTTTGGCTTGCAAAAGTCCTCATATGTCCTCATATGCTGTTTCGGTACCTTGGAGGAAACCATAGGGAAAAGGTCTTTCCCATTGCTGGAATTGTTAAGGCAACAATTGAAAAAGACGAGGGGAAAAGAGGCATCCAGCAGAGTTTGTGTTTATGACTCTTGGAAACACGTAAACGTCCAAACTTCAGTCTGTAAGAGCTCTGTGTTTTCTTTGTTTCCACAGGACAATCAGGTTTCACCGTGGTTCTCCCACCCTGGGGAGGGACAGAAAACAAAGTATAAAGTATTTTTTAGTGAGTGAACTTCAATTGACAGTGACAGTAAATTGTGGGAGCGGTGCTCAGGCAAGTGTGGCTTTCTTTTACCTTCCTCCTCATCACAAGCTCTTGCTGAATGATTGTATTCCTGGTGTTGTTGTGTTTGTGTGGTCCAACCAGCTCTTCTGCTCTCAGTCGTCACACCGGATCGCTGCTGTGCCACGGGACGATGTGTCTGAAGCTGCACGTTATTCACATGTAGCTTCCATTCTTATCTGGACAACAGTGAGACGGTTTAAACAATGACAACAGCGTTATTCTTTTTTTTCTTATTGTCAACAAATGCCAGAAAAAGTTGACTTGAACGAGCGCACCATTTTGTTCCTGAGACAACCAGGTTATTCACCTGATCAAATGTGATCATTGCTTCGTGATCTTTTTCTGCAGAAGACGCCTCATCTCACCGTCCAGTGGCCTCAGTTGGCGCCCCGGTTGAAGAGCTCCAGTACGGTGGCGTTGGTTCTCTGAAACATCCACTGCTGACTAAGAGAAGAGGGGTCGCACGTGTTCATGAAGACCCGCCGCTCGCTCGGGCTGCTGTCGATACAGCCGTTACTGACGGGGTGGTACAGACTTTTATCCTGGAGGACGGAGAAACAGACTGACATTTAGTCTCTTCTTGATTTTTTTTCTAATTCTGTTCCAAAAATCAATTTCATAAACTTCACTCCTGACATCCCCCCTTCCTTTAGCTTTAATTTGATCTCCATCAACTCCAAAGGGAAATAATTGGCTCTCTAAATGTTACACTATGATCAAATATATTGACCAGAGTAGCTTGAAAGCCACTAGGTGTTTTGAAATTGTCTGCCTTTTGCAGGCTCAATATTAAAAAAGTGACACTGTGGCAGACATCCGTTCCACAGACCTGTGAGGAGGACGCTGATATGAATGGCCTGAAAGCAACACATTCTTCAGGATTGTCACTTTTGTACTCAAAAAGTGCCAGAAGAATAAGCTGAAAGAGGCTAGAATCACGTCACATTGTGATCAGGGTAAGTGTAACATCTGTTGTTTATGTATCCTGCAGTTTTCCTTCAGATTCATTTGATGGGATGTGTAACAGATGGTCCCCATTATGTTGAAATCATTCATTAATTGACTGAAATTATGCTTAGCTGACCAAAGAAAATGCTACAGCAGCACAGTTGGAAGACCGAAAAGAGGATACAGCTGTGACTACCGCCATAAACTCCACACTGTAAGTCTTCACTTTCTTCTCCCGTACCTCCCTGTAGCGCCACAGCTGGTTCCCCTTCATGCCGTGACAGTCGTACAGGGTGACGGGGCTGTTGTGGGAGACAGCGTCGAAACAGACCTTCCTTGTGTGAATGGGGTCACCCACCCGAATATCCTCCCTCCAACCAAAGGTTAACACCTGAAGGGAACACATCTCAACTGTAATTAAACATCTCACATCACTCTGTGGCTCTTCCTGAGGTTTTTGTCAATAGGTTTTTTCTCTATGAGAGAGTTCCTCCGTGGAGTTTGCCAGGTTTGAATTAAATGTATGAGGATAGTGTGTCGCACAGGTTCAAAATCCATCTGAATCAAACCTGTGATTACGGGCTACAGAATTTTGACTTGATTCATTCTGATTCTGATCTCTGCTCAAAGAATACAGGTGAAGGTGAAAGAGGCTCAAACACTACTTGAGTCTCAAGGGTAAGAAATGATGAGGCTTAGTGCACAACAGCAGTAGTTTACAGGTAAACAATTACTTAGGATTGCTCTGCTGGCTCATGATGATGTCTGGATAAAATTCCACAGCGATCCATTCGGGCAGCATTTCAAGCAAAGTGTTACTCAAACAGAACGGCCGACATCGCTATCTTAAGAGCCACGTTTGGACGGCTAAATTTACCCAAATAAATTAACAAGGACACACAGGCCTGTAAATCTGTTCAGTTCTGAAATAACTGGCCAACGGGGTCACCTACTCATTAACCCCTGAATGATGGTCATGGTCCTTTCAGATACAACATATGCAGTGCAGAACTCTGACTTTGTGTGTTCTATGACAACCTTCCGAGGTCAGGAGACCTCCTGAGACGTTTTGCTAGAGAAAGTGTAATGAAGGACCATCACCTGTCCGTGACTCCACGCCACCTCGCCCCGTCCTTTCACACAGCTCTCCAGGCGGATGGGGCTCCCTGACACAAAGTGTTTGATCTCCATGCACATGCCGCTGCCCACGTTCCGTATCTACAAAACACACAGACAAACAGAGTCGCAGTCACAGAAACAGGCACTGCTTGCTCTTTAGTTATGGATTGTCACAGCACAGGTTCCCATCAGATATTGTTTGTAATCCAGCAAAGTCATGTCTGGATTTAGGCCTCCATAGGCCCCAGAGGACTGTGGTGTTGGGTTGCCATTTGGGCCCACATAAATTGAATGTTTGAGTTTTTTCTTTTTACACTTGGAAGGGCCCAAAGGCATAGTTGCTGCATGCAGGAAGAGAAGACAACCCTGTGTTATTGCAAACATGTTTCATCACGGTTTCTTGTCTGGGAATTTTGCTATCGCTATCTCCAGCTCGATGCACACCCCTCTTTCAACTTGGAAAACTCCCACTAGTATTACAGGTAAGTCAAAACCCCTGTGTTGAATTGAACATGATATGCATCTTTGTCTCCGGCACACTTTACAGCACCATGCAATGTTTGTGATTAAGATCACTCCATAGCCCATTACAATCACAAAGCAATAAGTGTAATTCTGCTCCAGTATAATTAGTAGATTAATTGTTTTCCTGCCTGTGTCCAGAATGAGGTACATGCCTCCACCCACATTAGTTGAACTATGCTGTTCACATGAACACCACAATGCTTTTAACAATGTATAAAGTCCATCTCTGTTTAGTCAACAAAGGTAGACTAAAAGAAGGGATTCATAATGTAAACATTGTACTTCCATGACCTGATTCTGAATATAGAAATGATAAGCTCAAAAAGTATTGTCATGGCGAATCCACTCATTTTAAAGTGTTTGGTTGTTCTGAGAACCAGAGTTGGGTAAGAGCCTTTAGGCATTTTTAAAATGATAACAGATAATGGATAACAGCTGACATTTTCAAACCTGAAAGGATAAAAACACTGTTTCAACTTTGCTTTTAGCTACGAAGCAATTTATACCCATTTCCTCATTCCTTTGATATTGTTATTCCTCTTACTTTGTCTATGCAGATTGTCTTTTTATTTCTGAACTAAAAAGAAGGTAGAGGACCTTCACCAGTCATGTACACACCTTAAATAACTGTGCTAGTGCTGACAGTGGGTGGGAGCTAATTTCCTTATTATTATCTCCACCAGGAGATTATCTCTTAGGTTGTGTGTGTGTATTTCTGTGCCTCTCTTTCCACGGCTTATCTCGCATACTGCTGGACCCATCAGCCCTCTGTGCTGATTACTGACTGTATGCTCAAGGACCTCTAGCGCTGTAGTGATTCACACATGTTGTATTGAAGGTTTACAGCGTCATTGGCGGATTATGTAATGTTCCTCGCTTGATGTGCACGCCTAGCTGAGACAATTGCATGTACGTATGTGTAATGTGGTATGTATGTGCTATATAAAGGGGGAAAACACATGTTGAATCAACTTAACTAATTAAATAAGTATGACAAAACGATGAAGAAAATGAAGTTTTGAGGTGAGACTCTGCTCCTGCAGTGCTGAGAGTGGCTGGGAGAGAGTGCTGTGAGGTGGAGGAGGGGCTTTTAAACCCAGGTACTCAGAGCAGGTGCCACACATCAACAATTAGGAATGGAAGGCACGACATCACATGACCGAATATTTTCTAATGCACACCTTACTGACAGGTGCATGGGAGAATGAAAAGTGTGAAAGTTTGATTCACTGAAGTGTTCAAGCACAAGAGATGTTGCAACTTTCTGGGGTCTTATCCATCCTAGCAGGTTTAGATAATAAGTTAAGATGAGATGATAAATGTGTGCTCTGCTGGTTTATCGTTGTTGGGCGTGTAAGCATTTCCAAATGCGTGTGTTTCTCTGTACGTTTTCTTCTCCATGCAATCTGTGAAACCCTTGAACCACTCCAATCAAAGCAGTGTCATAAACTAAACCTTACTTCTCCCCACGCGGCAGCAGGAGGCTCCACCATTGGGTAGTGTTTCGGTAAATCCCAGGCCACCTCACTCATGAACCACTTGAAGTTCTTGCAGTTGAGCCGGTTCCTCAGCTCCTTCTGGGCCGTCATGTCTCCCGCTGACAGGTGGCGGTACTCGGGCCGACGCTGGTAGACGTATTCTGCGTATTCGTCCATCCACACCTCTGCCACGCGTTTGAGGTTCTGGAACCAAATCAAAGAGAGAGAGTCAGGCGGATAGATTCATTCACTAAGCAGCAGCCTACTTTTCTTAGCAGGCATCTCAAGTCTGCCAGAATGTCTATGAGCCTCACACAAATAAACACCAAATCCCACAGTCCCTGGCAGTGAGGATGATCTTGTGGAACCACATTGGACTGTTTTGTGAACATAAATGTTTGCTGTTAGCACTGTAGATTGCTCTCGGGAGTCGGTTCCAACAGTGGCATCCATTTATTGCCTCTCACATCAACAGCAACATATTGCTACTTGGCTGAGGTGTACCATTGAAGACCACTTTGGGCCAACTAAATTAAAGCTGACCTTATAAGTTGGTTTCCATGAATGCAGTTTAAGTTGAAATACTGTAGCACATCAATAAAAAAAGAAAACGTTTGAAGAATGATAAAAATTAAAGAGGGATAAAACTGATGATCAAATTAAAATTCAAGATGGCAGCGAGTTCATTTTTGAGTACCTTTCATATACATTTTCTCCTTCATCTGCAAGGTCAGGCAAATTCATGACCATCAGCATTCCCCTGAGGGTTCAGTTTAAAGACTGCTGGTCAGAATACAAAGTCAAAACAAAGGCCAGTGCCCTTCAGTTGCATACTGAGCCAAGTTCCAAGCTGCAGCTGTAATGAATCGTTTTAGGCAACACTCCAGATGATTTAGCGATTTTAGACAATTTTTCATCCTGTGTAGATACTTTGAAACGTACAAGGAACAAAGAAACTCAAGCTTATTCTTCAGAGTAACACCTGCAAAAGCTATAAACCGTAGATAGTGGATACCCTGCATACTGCTGCCTCTCGTCTGGGCTTGTTTTGTTCGTAGATGCTGAACCGACTTTAACATGCTTTTGTGCATGGAGGAGAGTAATGAGTAAAGGAAATATGAAAGAAAAACGTCATTCATTATAATGCGTCACTTAAAGACTAGCTTAGTTAGGGCAATGTGTGTGTGTGTGTGTGCAAGTACACAGTCTGTGTTTGCATACATGTAGTATTGATGTTTGTTCATGTGTCTCTTTATTTGTGTCCTTGAAACTAGACAGAGGTTCATTCGCTCCTTCTCGTAAGCTTGTGTTTTTAGCTATGCCTGATTTAAGACCAGATTTACTGTTCAGAGCAGTTCAAAGACACACAGTGTTCTTATAGTGCGTGCGTGTGTGTTTGTATTTATCTGATTTCACAGCAAGAAAAGAAAAAAAAAACGCTGTTTGGTGAATTTAATTAAAAGGTAGGGTTGGTAATCCTCTTCAAAACATTTTTGATAATTTTGTTGAAACTCTCATTAAATCCTGTCAACAATCATTAAAAGAAATGCTCTGACAATAATAAGCCTGTCTAATCTTTTAATTCACTCCAAATGTAATGACTGGACAGCTACCTGCATGTGCAATCATTGCTCTTCACCAGAGTCTTCCACAAGCTGCTAGCTTAACACCTGTGCATGCTAACAATAGCCATGTTCATTGTTTATGTCCAAAAACAACAACCCCTCACAATATCACCAGGGTAAAGCTTGGAGAGTACACTTCTTTTAACGTATACCTGCTTTAAAAACATCTTGCGGAAACTGTCGAACAAAAAAGACAATATTGAGCTACATTATCGGAAGTGTGTTTTTGAAGTTTGGCCAATACAAGGCACTTCATAAAAGTGCAATATATAATAGCCGGGATGACGATAAATACATTATGTGGACCAAAGTGGACCCTGACTGGCTTGCGGATCACGTCAGAAACGCGGATGCTGAAAGTATTAATTTGTGTTTACATCCATTGTTCATTGGTTTCCTTTTGTTTTTTTATCATTAAAAAAATAAAATAAATGTATAGTGTCCTTTACTCTCAGTGTATGGACCTTTGATCAGTCTTAATTTCATGATGGACAATGCAATTCAGTTAAAATGGACTTTACCATCGTGGTGCACCAGATAAATGTCGCCAAACCAAAAGCACAAACAGCATTACAAATACTGTAGGTTCCACTGTGGTGGAGATTAAAGGAGTGTCAGAGAGCTAGTGTACTCTGGTTTATACTCCCTGAATGGATCAGCCTTTAAACAGCCAACACAGATCCATTACGCTTTGATTAGCCCTGCAATATTAGAGAATAATACTTAAAATATAATGTTGTCCATTGTTGTGTTGTGTCTCAGATGTGAAAGAGTTGATGTGACAGCACTGTGCTGACACTGAAACCCTGTATCAGACTGTCCTGGTACACAGAAAATGTGATCTGCTGAATTGTATTTTCTCATGAACCGTAGAGGCATACTGTGGGCACAGTGCGTGAAGAATTACCTTCGCCAAGCTGATCCCACCAGGGACCTTGTAGGGGACGTACTTCCTATAGATGTGTCCTACCCTGGAGCAGGGGATGTCCTCCATTCGACCACCACACATCCACACCTACAGAGAAACACAGAAAGGGAGGAATCTCTTTCATCAGACGGATGTCTGTTGTATATAGAAGCTTTGTCCATCTCAAAATTCAAAGACAGAAAGTTGTGGAAAGGTAGGAGGAAGGTGAAAGAAGGAGACGATCAAGGAGATGAGCAGGAGAGTGATGGCGAAGAATAAAAGAGGCATGCAGTATAGTGATTCTAACAGGCTTATAAATCCTGGGAGACTAAGAGGAGAGAGGAGTGAATTCGGAGGGAGGGCAATAAAGATGAAATTGCAGGATAGTGGAGGAAGAAGAGAAGACACCAAAACCAAATTATCATTATGATGGTGACCTGAAATCACCTGAGCAGCGGGGTCAGATTAGAGAAAGACTGAGCCGCTGGGTTAACTCATTGGCACAGTATACTATGACAATATTTAAAATGAGCTGATATGGAAAAAACAATGACAACTGCGAAAAACACTGTTGACCGCAAAGGCTTTCGAGGAAAACGAGGCTGCTGTTTCTTTGAAATATTGAAGTCATACAATGAGATTTTAAGAACCTTGATGTGATTTTCTTGAGTTAAAAAAAACCTTCCTTTGCTGTTATTTTATCTTGTTTATTTTCCTTTCCTTCTTCTATCTCACATAACCGACACATCCAGCAGAGGCTCCTCATTTTAATCCTCCAACTATAATAAAGACAACAGTGATGATTCTCTGTCTTGGCTTGCAACGTTGAAAATAAACCTTGAGAAAGAAAGGGAGGCAATGAAGAGGATCACGATGAAAGGAAGTCTTACAGACAGCAGACGAGATGGAAAAAGGGTTTTGTTTTAACGACAATAGCAAAATGAAAAGTAGGGAATTGAAAAGCTGGATTTAAACATGAAAACAAACAACCTAAGTATGAGCGTGTAGGGCGTCCACATTGTTTCTACAGAGTAAAGTGTTTTAATATGTAAATAAGGTGTATGCTATTTGAAGGCTAGAAGCGCCATGAAACTGCTGAGAGTTCAGGAACATGGACAGGAATAATTGAACATGAAATATACATATTTTACATATGATTTCAAGGTGTAGGCTCGTACAGTGCAGAGTTCAAAGGGGGTGTACAGGCAGTCGTGAAACTCCTGTCCTGCAATAACCTGACTTCAGTTTGATTTCAGTGCACGTGTGAACAGTCGGTCCTACCCACTCAGTTCCTACAGTACATTTAAAAACATTACACTGAGGACCCTATCAGGAAGTCTAAGCAATGTCGCTCAAAATCATCAGCAACAACACGTCCATTGAAATGAAAGGTTTGAAATGCAGACGGGAGAGCAAAACTGATATGAAAAAGTCTATGTGGCATCTTCTGGCTTAACACGACGGCACCATTCCAATTCTAAATTAATATTTGAAAAGTGCACATTCATTGTGTTTCAACACAGTATTTCTGTACTGTTGCAAAAAAAGATCAGGCAACACTAATATTATTATTATTATCACACTTGAGTGGTGGCTGCGTAGGATTGTTTGTGATACAAACATTTCCAATAACTCAAGAGCGTTGTTCGGTCCAAATTCAAAATCTACTGAAAAAACATAGATGTAATTGTTTCCTAAGTTTTCATCCAACTAAATATTCTGCGTCAGTCCATATTCGTGGCCGACTTTTGCTGGATACTCGAAGCTACATGGCTTTACCAACTGTAGTTATCATGATCTGAACACAAAACAGCAGGCCTTGAGGCAAATTAGTGAGATTTTGTTCGATTTCATTCATTTAAACGGTACTATTGACTTTCAGGATGTGTACAGTTCATGGTTTGTGTCAAGCTAACATTATACTCAATTAAAACATAAAAATGCAAAGAACGCTCTGTCTGTTCTACAACAAGAAAAAAGGCAGTGCGATGTGAACACGTTTTGTCTTATTAACCCTTTAAATCACACGTGTCAAACTCAAGGCCCGCGGGCCGAATCCGGCCCGCCACGTCATTTTATGTGGCCCGCGAATCCACCAGCAAAAAAAAAAAAAAAAAAAAGTTTTTTTTTTTTTTAATTTTGGAAAAAATTAAGTTGGACTTGAAAATAAAAATATCCCCATGGTCGAAATTATGAGATAGAAAGTTGAAATTCTGAGATAGCATGTTGTCTGTGTACCGACATTAAAACTATCAGAACAGGTGGACAGGAGAGGCAACAGCCTGTGAAGCGGTTTTCCAACAAGTGATTGAGTTGAAAAAGATCGACAAATAATCCCAAAATGTCCACGAAGAGAAAAATTGATGCAGAGGGAAGAAGATGTAATTTAAGATGGTAAAGCGAATACATGTCTGTGCTTCAAGGAGAAAAACGGGTCTGTCTTCTGTGTTATGATGCATGTCGGTGATGAAGGATACAATTCACGTTGGCATTTTGACACCAAACACGGAGCTAAATTTAGCCTCCAAGAAAAACATAAGATTGTACAAGAATTAAAAGGCAGACTGCAATCACAGCAGAATATATTTACAAAAGCTACAGCCCAGTGCACGCTAACGGTATGTGAGCAGGTGAGCTCCGACCAGATACAGACTTTTACAAATGTCAGTTTGTGAAGAAACACCATCGCAGACCGAGTTCAGGAACTAGCAGCAATCCAACAACACAGCTAGCTAAGAGATGAGATACATCATCTATCAGTGTTTGTAAGAGGCTCAAGGCAGACCTGACTGTCAGTGAGGAGCTCTTGGATGTAGCTGCCATGCACGGGACGACGGCAGGGCGGGACATTAGTGATGCAGAGAGGTGACAAAAATAGCTTTGAACAAAGTTAATGTAATAACTTATGTTTGATATTTGTCTTTGTTATTTTCTTTAATAGTTTGATCTTTGATAGAGTAATGTGGGTTTCTTAACCCTAAATTAAAATGATTTATGTTATAATAACAGAAATGTGCTTAAATATATTTTTACATTTATATAACTGCATGTACAGTATTTTCACACTTGAATAAACAATAATCAAAAGCAGAGACAGTTATTTAATAATATGTCAGGAGTAGTTACAGTTATACAGTCTTACAGTTACAACCAGCCCTTTGAGGGAAACCATGATGCTGATGTGGCCCAGAGAGAAAATGAGTTTGACACCCCTGCTTTAAATTGATAGTTTCTAACTCGGATTGAGTTTGCGATGTTAAGAAACAACTAACCACATGGGAATAATTTCAAACCCAAACTAACATTAGGCTATTAAAGCATCCAGACATAACAGACAAGTCCTCATTGCCCTGTTTTGACATCATTGTCACTGCAGCACGACCAGTCTGTCTGGTCTGTTGCAGATGAAGTTCCACTACCAGTGAACCGAACTCAGATCAGCTGATAAACTACAGAACAACAGAATTCACTCCAACTGCATGAATAAAACATATTGCTGCAAGACAAAATCCAGCATTGAATAAAAGTGCAACTAAAACTTGAGTTGTCTCTATTGGTGTCTTTGAATAAATAAAACATAAGTTCAGCATATACTGTATGTCAGTGGCTCTTGTATTCCGTTTCCTTCCACTACATGAATAACAATGACCTAACCAAGGCCGGCAGCAATAAACGAAAAGTCCGAGAAAAAACAGAAATGTAATGCTTCAAGGTTAGTACTGGCTTCAGCACCGATCTCAATGACTGACTCTATCTGCATTTTAGATAGCAGATGCTTTACATGTTAAATTATTTGTGTTTGCCATCTGGTCCAGAAGGCAATACAGACAGTTGGTCATGAGCATGATGCAAAAACATTTCATTAACAATTAAGTTCATGTTTTCTTTGGCAAATAAAGACTGTTTTATGGTGTTTTAATGGAAACAAGCATCAAAAAGCTGGTGCATTATCACGGTGGCAACCACAGGATCATATCAAGCATACCACTGGCCAATATGTGAAAGTTTATGTAATTAGCTTACTACCCATGCAAAATTCAGAATGCTAAAAAAAATCATGTAATTTATTTTTCAATGCAAGCTTTGAGAGAAAAGTTTCCCTCTGCCAACTTTTTGCCATTTAGCTTACTTATACACAGAATACCTACTTTGTGTGGCTCCTTCTCTGGAAGTTTAATTATGTCTGTCTCTGAGAAATGTTAGCATAACTGAAACTCCAATACGCCAGAGTGGAATTTAAAAAAACCATGTGCCTTGCTCCATCTTCTTGCTTGGCATGTGAGGTCATATTACCTTTGTGCTCTGTGTGCCTGTATGTCCTGAGATTATTTCCCTGTATGAGTTGGAAATGCGTGATATTCCCATACTTATGTGACCAAGATGGAGCTTTAGATTAACTGTACCAGTGATTGTGTTTCACATGCGAGCAGGGCCTGGCTGTCTTTGGGAGCAGCAGTGTGGCTGTAAGGATTAGTGTGAGAGCCTGTTACTCAGGTGATGGGCTGCTCTGTATCAGCTAATGGGGATCTTAATAAAAAGGAAACCAAATTGAATATCTGTGGGCTTAAAGTAGGGTTAAGAGGCACAGCTAGGAATGTGCTGATAGTACAATTTAATGGTATGATAATCTTGGCCAAAATAATCACCTCGGTTTGGGATATTATCTCAGTAATTACTTAAATAAGATGAAAAGCTTCGAAACAGTATTCAAATGTCTTTTCACATACGGCTCAGCCCTGGGTCACGGATGATGTTAGTTGAGGCCTATCGTTTCGGCTTTAAATGAAGGAAATCCTCACCTTTTGCTCAGGGTTTGAAAAACACTCAAGCGCAGAGTTATCCTTTACATTCTCGGGTTAAAGTGGAATCTTCTGCATCACAGTGGTCAAGTTGTAAGTGCTTCAGGTTTGGAAATTGATTCATATTTCAGCCTCGGATTTCAAATGTTGAAACCACCACCAACATCACACTAGGAAGACAGAGGCTGTGTAGGGCTTTCATTATATACCTCAAAGAAAGTGTGTCGGAAATGAGTTTGCATGATCACAAAATATGTTTAGAAATTTGCTGAAAGGAAGATTCCTAAGCCTTTCTTCAGCTGAATTGATGATGTCTGTACTATCAACAATCACCAATGGCATCTGAACAGATGCTAAAAGGACAACGCCAAAACCTGAATGTCAGAGGTCAACAACACAACAGCCTCCAAGGAGCTGGCTTCAAGTTGGTGTGGGATGGATTGGGAACACTGCCAACCTCATAAATGTGTCTCCAACCTAAGACTCTCAAAGACGAAGCAAAGAGATCATCCTTTTGGTTTTAAAGTCTTAAGTGAACAACAACATGAATCAAAGATGTGACAGAAACCAAAAGGAAAGAGGATGATGGCATTGTTTGGGAACAAGATTCATTTCCAAAATGACATGTTTTATTATCATTATGTGTATGACCCTGATGCAATGATAACAGGCTAGAGAGGTGGCAGAATGACTTGGTTATAGGATGTAAATTCCAAAAACATCATCTGCAAATGTGTACGATAAATGAGCATTCAATTAGCCAGTGGTTTATGAACATATAAGAAAATTATTCTACCATCCCTTCAACAAAGTGAGCAAAACTGGCTTTAACTGCAATTTACATTTGGGATTTGATCATTTTTACCTTGAAGGAGATCTCGTACTGTTCTCCTCCCCAGATCTCCAGACCTGTGTCATATCCTCCCAGCTCCCAGAACCACTTCCTGTCCACAGCAAACAGTCCACCTGCCATCACTGGCGACCTGCGGAATACACAAAATACAACACACACTCACTCACTACTTGCAGTACATTTTGTACAACAGATGCACCCAAAATCACAACATTTACATGCAGAGCGGCAGCATCGCTTTCCACTTTTCAACTGCCAAAGAAAATACATGTAGGATTTAACCACAAACAACAACTGCGACAACTCACAATATCCTTGAACTCAGCACTTTTTTTGAGTCAAAGTAACTGAATGGAGAGAGACAGCAAGGAGAATATCAGAAAGCATCACTTCTAACAACTGAAACTAAATGTCTACAGGTGGAACTGCTCAAGAGAGAAATAGAGGGAGACATGAGCAGATGCATATTGATTTGTGAGGAACTTTAAAAACTTTTTCCTTGAAAGCTTGAAGGAAGTCTTGGCTCGGATATCTGTTGGCTACACGGGGACCCCAAAAATATAGACTCGCCTCCAGACGCTTATCCGACTGATAGCTGATGTGTTTCGAGTAAACCAAAGCTGCATACATAATTGTCAAATTAAAAGGGATTATTTTGCCAAAAATTATGTCTAACGATCAGTGAAAAAGCAAAGGTCTAGAAAAGTATATTTGTGCTCAATTATTGCTATTCCATAGAAAAAGAAAATACATTTTGTGATCTTTTGTTTGAATGTAAATGGCTGTGTGCACTGGAAGAAGCATGAGCAATATATTGGCGAAGCGATGCGTGTTTTGACACAAACCTAACATATGAATGGTTGGCATAATAGTAGATTGTACTGCAGGTGTTGTTTGAGAGGTTGTTATTTATGCATGTATGCATGTTCTTTGCTGTGACTCTGGTTCTTAGTTGGAATCCACTGTAACTGCTCTAAATCCAAGCTGACGGCAGCTGCTGTCCGCCATGATGAGGGCGAAACAAACTTTCCAGCCTACGTGATTAAAAACTCAAATGACAAAATATAACAGTCAGAATAAGAGCAAGGAAGCAACACACAGACACAGGCAGCAAGTCAGAGTTCATGTATTTATGGTGGCACTATTTCTCACCAGATAATGAAGCTACACTGAAGAGTGCAGAACCAATTAACCCACTGCAGAGCACTGTGGCTTCTGTCTGTTGTGACGAGCTCTGTGCTGCTGAGTGCGGGGCTTGTTAGCTGTTACATCGCTGCTGTACAGTACTCGATTGTAGCGGCAGCACACCTGAGGCAAACAAATTGGGGCAGCAGGTGTAGACACACGAATATATTTCATTTCTTGTAAGGAACCCAACCCACCTAGTGCCTTCTTTGAATCCAATTCATGTCACACTGATCCTAACGATCAATCACAACTCAACCCCCCTGCCCTTCTCCCACAAATACCTCATCTTTGGCACCGACATGTCACTATGCACGCTTGCAGATACACCAGGTTGTCATAGTTACAAGCTTTTCATCACATAGAAGTCGGAGGCAGGCAGCCAGCAGGTAGTCTGCTCTCGCCAATGTCGTCCCTGAGGAGGATCAATTAAATGGCAAACAGGGCAGCTACTGTACTGTCAGCAGTGAGAAACACTCCGGGGCTTCCCACGCCTCATGAGCTGTGAGCACAGACACGAGTCCCGTGGTGATAACAGCCAGGTTTCAGCAGTTTTCCTTCTCCAAGGGTGAACAGAATGAAAATAATCTACTAGCAGTGATAACCGTACAAACACCTCTCTACTTCCCTCCGACATTCTTTTTGTTTTGTCTTTTAACATAATCTGTGTCACTCTGTCCAAACTGCGCTACTCTATTTCGTGGTGCAAACAGTTATGTTTGCTGTGCCTGCTATTTGTTGGATGGGTCTCTAAATCACCACTTCAGCTAAATGATACGCATGTGTGCTAAATGAATGGCTGTGCTTGCTGCGTAATGAACTTGTCATCATTTCCAATTGTTTCAATGACAATCATTTTCTTTATTCAATATTAGCATGTTTACAGACATTTTGCCAGCTTCCCATGTTATTACAAAATCATTGGAATTGTTTCTTCTCTTTTGGAAAGGCTTTCTACCTGATTTTGAAACTTGGCTGCAGGGATTTGTTCCCATTCAGCCACAAGAGAACTAGTGAGTTCAGCCACTGGCGTTGGTGCGATGAGGCCTGGGTCTCAGTTGGTGTTCTAATTCCTTCTGAAGGTGCAGAATGGGGTCAAGGTCTATCACACCAAACTGGGAAAAACTTTTCTTTATGGAGCTGGCTTTGTGCAGGGGGGGCATTGTCATGTTGAAACAGGAAAAGGCCTTCACCAAACTGTTAGCATGTTATTCTCTAACATGTGTACAACCACTCTACCAACTTTTATAAAGCAACAAGTTATAAATCAAACAATTTCCCCAAGTGATGTATCCATATTTCCTGCTTTGTTTTTGCCCCGCATGACAACAACTACAGTCTTCAGTTCCATTATCGCCGTATATTAGAGGAAAATAAACTTTGTATTAATACAAATGTAAGTGTGTGGACAGTGAGCTTGATTCCCACTGGCTAAAAGACAGTAATATAAAGCAGCTGCAGTAAGATAACACAACAGTGTTTGATTTTGCCTGGAATAATAAGCCATTGCTCTAAAACTTTATCTATATTAATATAGATTTGAGCACAAAGGACCAGTTTGAATCCTTGCAGGGGAATGGCCTTAATTACCGCTGAGACATAGTGCAGCAAAGGAGTAGATGAAGCAACCAGCTTTAGAAACTCCCGCTTGTGACTGTTGTGTTCATTAAGAAAGCAGATATTGCAGTTACAAAAAAAGTACATATTGTGCAGCTATAATTACGATAATTACTACGTTATTTTCCATTGTGCATAAAGAAAATCTAATTCACGCTCAACTGGTAATACTTACTCCAGAGTAAGCATGGGCTACACACACATGCACTTCTCCCTTCCTCCATTGCCCCACTGCCACACTGGACCAGAGGCAATGAAGGGCAGGTGAACACCGTATGGATTTAATTAGCTGCCTGTAGCACAGCCATGGTCTGCTGTTGCTGATAAAGTGACCCAAGTCTACAGTATGCAGCTTATACATATTGATATAGAAAAAGAGATTTATAACCTGCTCGTCTGTGTTCCTCATGTAAAAGCATGCGGTACAACAGTGTGGCTGTAGGTAGGAGAACCACTGAGCACAATGTTTAATTCATGTGTTGACACAGTGTCTACAGTTGGAGGAGCACTGCAGTGCACCAGTGAAGTGGCTGCTCAGGGGGTGTTTGACTTCCACTGTACTGCCTGTCGTACGAGCACATGGATTCCCCCTCCTGCTATAAGTAGAAAAATAAAACAAAAAAAAAAATTAAACACTGGCTTTCGGTCTGTCCACACCTCCTACACACATCGGAACCGTCAAGCTAAGTGAGGTGGGGGTATTACTTGACAACGTCTTCCGTGAGTGTTGCACAAACCAACATCATGTTGAAAGAATATTTCACCCACAAAATGACCATTTGTATTTTCAATTATTTACCTTGTGCTACATAAAATTCTTGAGAAGAGCAGTTTTCTTTTGCATGCCTTCCGGCAAACGGAAAATCTGAACACGGATTTAAATGGATCGATTTGAATAAATGGGGTCAAGGATTAACAACAGCAAAACCATATCAAAAATGAGTTTGAAAACTCTCACACAACTTGTGCAGCATTATCCAAGTCAGTCGTATGCTCAGTACTTCCCAAACACATGCAACTTTGCCACAATCGTACTATTTAAAAGGTGCTGCATACGAGATCGGGAGCATTTCAAATTCAGTAACGACAGAGGATTGAGAGAGTGATGATGCCCTGAGAGCGTAGGCTATAGCAGCAATGTGTATCTGAACTTCTGAGCCTTCTGAGTTACTTCTGAGTTGATAAATAAGTGGGCAGCAGTCCAAGGATGAATGGTTGAATGTGCACATGGATAATGATGACCAGGTGACTTAAAACACGAGGGGTTTACGGTCGTGATCGAGTTCTGTGATAGCCAGCGTCCAACAGATGAAGAGTGTGAGGTGAAGCGTTCATGTATAAAACATCCCCATATTCAGGAATAAAGCTTGTTGGAGGAGTAGGCTATAAAAACAAAGACACCATCAATAATTAGAGCATGCTGTCACTCACTCGAAGGGCTCACTGGGGTCGTCGCTCTGCAGCTCTGTAGGGATGGGTATCCGTTTGTAGTACATTTCCCAGTCAAACGCCCCTCGCATGGCGTCCCCCGCCTGTGTGTCGTAGCCAAAGTTGTCGTGGTCGATCACGTCGATCATCGGACACACGATCGTCTTCCTGTTCTGGACGATTCGGTCTGAGAGACACAGACGCAGCAGATAGTTCAGTCCAAAAAAAAGTTGTTCCACCGCTTTTCATTAAAGCAAACCAGAAACAACGTTTTTAATTTGTACAAGACTTAGAGTTGTGTTTGTGTGTCTGTCTTTGTTTGAGTATTGAGGGTGCTTCATCTACAGTGGTAAAGGAGGAAGTTAGTGGGTGCCCAGGAAGAATGAATGTATATGTGTGTTTGTTTGTGCACTATTGTGCCTCTTTTTCCACTGAGCTCTTGGCACATGTCAGACGCATATCAACCTTTCACTGGAAAAGGGTTGCCAGTGTGTTGACTCAGTAAAGAAAATGCTCAAGTAATATATTTTTGGAAAAGTGCAGCTATAAATCTGCTTGAATCATTTATTTCGGCAAGTCTAGTGCAGTTTCTGAGCTCATCTGTGAGACAGAGTGTAAACATTTTCAAGGTAACTTATGAGTGATGGTTCTGACTTGCAGTTTCTTTCGATGACATTTGGATTAAGTTCAGTACCTTAGGTGTTTGGTCCTTAAAAGTGATGTTGTTTTTCCCACCACAGCTTTTAAATTGGAAATCGTAGATCATTAATATTATACGGTTGTCATTTGAATGCCACACAGGGTGCACGTAAAATGAAATTGTACTCATTTTGTCACAGCCTTCTTACCCTCTCTCCTTTAGTAAATGTCACAAAGTGTTGTAATGAACACAAACAGCTGCCTGTTATGTCACACACTGGCAGACACGCATCATTGTCCTGAGTATTGTGTTAACAATAGAGGTAACGTGGGTCATAAAGCTTGTTGTTAAAAAGGTTCGATGTGGGACGGTGCCATGCTGGGAAACAGAGCCGAACATGGGTCATTAATGGAAAAAGGGTAATTGAGAAAGTGAGCGTGTTTGTGAGCAAGTCCATCAGGCAGAGGAGGAAGCGCTTAGTCTCACAGTCGGGGTGGTGTGTGTTTGTTTGTGTGCGTCGGTTACATCCATCTGCTATGAGGACCTTGAGATTCGGGACATTCATCTTAAAGATAGGACATATTGGGAAATTAAAGCTTTTGGAAAAGTGAGGACACTTTTGGGAAGTAAAGAGATTTTAAAAGACATTTGATAATTTTGAAAGAGAAATTCTTAAAATGAAACATGGTGGCAAATGAGTTTCAGCACTGGGGATTAACAAAGTTTACGCAATTTTGGAAATTCATTGGGAAAAGTGAGGACATTTTGTGAAGTGCCTGGTAGCAGACAAGATGGCGGGCAACATCCATGATGGTCATCCACAGGAAATGACTTTGGGACAACGGGTGGAAGTTGTTCATCACGTTTTTTGTGAGGCAATGTAAAAGGCATGCAGACAAAGAAGCAGACATTGCCGGTGATCGTGAATGCAAGTTGGAGTATCTGCTTTCTTCGAGACTATAAGTGCATTTAAATATTTGGTGCAGGTAAAATGGTAAGCTCAGTTTTTATCCATTGAAACTTGGTTTTAAAACTGCCATTCTCTCTCGCTATGTTCTCTTCTACCAATCAAACTATCAAAGGTTCCCGTAAAGTGTAGTGAAGGAAGACTCAAGCCTTAGCACCCAATTCTTACCTAATATATCTACTGCGGATGCAGCTAACGCTAACTGTAAAGTAGTGAGTCATGAACTACAGTTGCTGTTTTAGTCAAGTTGTCTGTGGAATAAAAACATGATTTTTTAGTGTGTATTTTTCCACTCCACCACGAATGAAGAGATTTGGCTGGGCTAAGCTTTACATCGTTACATATCTTGACAGTGATTTTGATGTAGCTAATGCTTAGTGCGTGCTTTTGTGTTCCTCACCCAGCAGCGGTGGCAGCCAGTTGACGTTGGCCTCACAGTGGGAGTCCAGGAAGGTGATGACTTCTCCTTTAGCCGAGGAGGCTCCAAGCAGGCGAGTCCTGATCAGCCCCTCTCTCTTCTTGGTCCTCAGGATGCGAACCTTCGGCATCCGCATCATGTACTCCTCCAGCGCCTCCTTCAGGTGCTCTGCACAGAGGGGAGGGGAGGCAGGAGGGGATACAGGAAGAGGGTGGGATCATCAGTGTCATGTTTAGTGCTCTCAAGAATTGTTCAGTTAAGTGGTATTATTTACTTTGCCCTGACATTTGTTTTCTCTCAGACGGACACATCGACCTCAATCATTTTCTTGATTTCCTAGAATGCCCTTGGAAAAACAACAGCGAGGGGATTTTCAGTCTACAACGTGGAAATACACATGGCAATTTCATGGACAACAAAGCTGTGTCTGCTTTTGCAATTTTTGAGTCTGTTGATGGTGAAATCTGTCTCTACATTATGAACTTCAGATTGTATGCTTGTTGAACCAAAATGCACATTGACGCGTGTAGAGAGAAGAATGAGCTTTTTAAAAGCTGCCATTGAGGCCAGCTGCACATGCTGACTAAAGCTCTAATAATGCAATGTATCCTCAGACAACAATTTGTAAGATATCCTTTGAAAAGTTATGATATCTTTTGTATGTTTTCCTGCAACTCTCCAGCAACAAGAGCGATCAGTTTGCCTGCGCAGGTCCTTGCAATGTTTCGGCAAAAAAAATACTTGGTTAGATTTTGGAAAAGATTGTGGTTTTGGTTAAAATGACTATGGAGATGTCAAAATGCGGAAGGTAGACGACAAATGAGCTTCACACGGAACATGAACAGCAGTGTTCTGGGTGGAAGTCTGCTGTTTTTTGACACACTATTCGACCTCAAACTCCTCCGTTTAACTTTGACGCTTTTTACTCTCCATCACCTGTTTTGGCTCACATTTACATACAAATTGATTATTTACGTGGGTTGCAAACAAATAGCCCAGAACAGTGTAAACAATTTGAAAATATATATATATATATATATAGTATATATACACACAAATATTTTCAGTGCACTGCAAAACAGTGTGGACATTTGTCCTGTGCTCACCTGCCTGATCACTAACTCTCCTGTCATTAGAGATCCTGTTCCCCTCATCTGTTCTGCCATCACCTCATTCACCCACCTCAACTTCCATGTCCACACCTGGACCTCAATATCCTCATCAGCCACTCATTACCGGCCCAGACTCATTAACCCTCTGCCAGACTGTCTAGACTCCCATGTCAGCCTGTTTCGTGACACTTTTTTGACTGATTGAAAAGATATCGAACTCTCAGCTACTTCGGCATTCATGCTTTTTTTTCAGTGATTTCTGTGTTGCTGTTACAGGGATGGGTTTCTCCCTTAAAGTGTGTCTGTTTAGTCATATTCACAGGATAGAGGTTGATGTGCAGTGGTTACTGCAGTTCCCTGTGGTAGACTGGCAACCTTTCCAGGGTGTTGCTTGCCTCTTGCCCACTGCATGCTGACAGTTGGGCTAGTCTCCAGCCCTCTGCAACCCTGCACAATATGGATTTTTACCGCAGTAGCAGTGAAGGACAGATTCAGGATGGGAAACTTTTTAAACAACAAAAGGTTGTACAGGTCCCTTAATGCCTTTACGCAACACACCTTAACCACAACTTTTCTTCAGTTTTCTGCCCATCGGATAACAAATTTTCAATGCTGGCATTACATACTAAACAATAAATCAGACCGACAAGCTGCAGAAAAAAATGTTGCTGCACTGATGCAGGACAACAAAAAGGAATAGTTATATTGCATCAGTAAATACTCAAAACAGCCCACACCTTTCCGTTGCTGAGATGGACATGCATTGATTAATGACAGAGAAAAGAGACAGACACAAATGGATTCAGACAAACTTGAATCTCCTCTATGACGATTATTAAACAGCTGATAATCCATTATCCCTCTATATAAATTGCTTGCAACAGATACCTGCTCTTGCAGAGAGATGCTGCAGGTCTCCTTCTGGCAAAACTGTCACAAGTAAACAAACGCCGTAGAACACTGTAACCCAAAGGTTTGTCAAAACCAGCAGTTTTGTAGGACAACCATCAGCCCTGTGATTGCCACTGTAATCAAATCACATCCATCACTGTAATCAAGTCAAAGATCACTATGCTAAGTTCAGCTATACTATTAGTCATAGAAGCAGGAAGGTTTAAAGGTCTCTCTCGGGATACATAGTTTGTTTGTTTAGATGGGACTGAAGACTTTTCCTTTCATGTTTTATTGCTCCTTTGTTAATAATTGAATGGGTGATCATAGGAGTTTAGAGCAATGTATTTGGAAGGATGCTTTTTGTTGTGGAATACTTTGGTAGACCTTGGTATAAGAGACACAATTCTCTGACAAGCTTTGTGTAACAAGTTATTTTCTGACTTGTTTCCCAATTGCATATTTGGTATGTGTCTTAAAAGCACACGTCAGGGTTTGACGGTAGGGTTGAGGGTCTAAATTTGATATTCTAGTGAAATGGTTTTACACCCACCGTGCGTCAAATAAGGAGGATGTTGCAACCGCTCCGTGTTTTGGAGGTGAAAAATAGATAATTACTTTTTTTGACACTAATATCTAATTTATGAGGATAAGAGCACGAGCCCTGAATGTTTAAATAGAAATTACCCCTGAAGCAGTCAAAACATAAAACGTAACTTTGACAGATGCTTGACAAAAAGCCACATTACTGCCTGTCAACAAGAGCAGAGAGAGAAACTATGAGAAGCTGGAAAGTTGACCTTTTAACTTCATACGTTGAAACCTTCATTTACTTTCATGCAAATTCCAAATCTAACTGAGCTGAAGTTGACGAGCTTCAGAAAAATACCAAAGCGGCTCTATACATTTCCTACGCAAGTTGTGTAAGATTTAGCCTCCCAGTCGTGTCAAAGCAGCTGTCAATGTTTACAACTTTGATAAAAAGGATGAAGCCAAACTAGTTCTGGTCATGGAATGGGAAAAATAAAAAAGAACATCTTGAGTGAATTGTGGGAACAACGATCAGGTAAACTTGTGTTCTCTCCTCTCCAAGTGTGTTGTCCACAAAAAAACGAACGTTAAGTTGATGTTCTAGTTTGCAGTCCATCTCTCCATCTGTCTTGCTAACCCAGCTGGTCAGTGCATCTCTTCATCTGCCTGTGTCTTGTTTGCCACGTCCAGGGCTGTGTTCTGGGGCTTTGTCCGTGATAAAAGTGAAAGTGAAATACAACAATATGCACACATACTTTTAAAACAAGACCAAGATCACCTAGTTTCTTTAGGGGGAGACAGCAGGTCGGCAGTATTATGCCACAGAAAAGTGGTGTTCATTCGCTGAAAGCTGGGAACCTGAAGAATCATTCGAGTTGCAGCTACTGTATGTGTCAAGTTGTTCTACTATCAATAAATAAATATATAAGAAACATTTTGTTTTGTTTAGGCGCCTACATATTTAAATGTTGAAAGTTTAGAGTGGATAAGGGCATAGCACATTATGATGGAAGTATATGATGGCCATTCCCATGCTGAATTCTCTCTCATAAGTTGTTGCAGTAATCTTTGGGGTTGATTCCATTGGTAATGCAGATCTAGTGCTCAATTTAACAATTATTTGCCATTCGAAAATTGATAGAAATATGCAAACATTCCTCCAAAATACCACATGAAGACACCAAGACCTTGATGTACAACTTAGAAAAAGCCACGCTGTGATTTGGTAGCAAGAACTTTTGAAAACATTTTGAGATTTTTGCAAGAATGTCAAGCACTTCCATCCATCCTGGTTTCTTCACTCCCCTCGGTTTCTTCTTTCTATCTTGACCCATTACGAATACAGCTCTAGTTTTTGCCACAGAGAAACAAAGCATCTTCAGGGACGAGGAAGGATCCTATCTACAAGGGCAACAGGGAAGATGTGACAGGACTCATTCCTTCTGTCCTCCATATTTCTCTCTGTTCTAACTACTGTTTAGAAACTATGATATGGAAGCCTTTATTTTCCCATTTATTGATACTGCTTGTGTCTCAGTTGTTAATCTGTCTTTTTCTCTTCTCTGGTTGGGCTGTGAATCAACACTTAGTTTGTCGGAAATCACGTCAACTGACTTGCTCCTTCACACCCGCCATAACAACAAGAACCACGTAGAGCGTATGGATACTGACCAAGCTACCATATTTGGGAGTGAGAACAGGCTGCATATTCACACCTAAAGGCGATTTAAGAGTTCAGGGAACCTAACCTCCATGTCTTTGGATTGAGGGAGAGAACTAAAACCGCTTTAGTACCACCCACTGAGACCAAATCCTTTACTTTATCATTGGGCATTTAATACTATACATGTATAAAGGGGTTGCAATCATGCTTAAGTTTATGAAAACAAGAGGTAAAATTATGTCAATCAGTGAATTAAATGTGGGTTCCAATACTATTTATATTTTATGATATCTGTGCCCTCCTGCGTTATGACTTAATGCAGTATTTCTTTCTCGCTCAGTTCTGATAATGCATGCAGGTTTAGTGTTGAACACTGAAACAAGGCCTCAAAACAACAATCAGTTCTGCAAATAATCAACTCAAACCTTGTGTTTATGATGCTGTTTTATTTTCATCTCTTACAGTATGTCTTCCTCTATATCAACCCCATCAAAAGCAAATCCCAAATCGAATCCCTCCATTGCCAATTTTCAGATTTATGTGGGGCTTTTCTCGTTGAGTCCTGTGACGGTCAGCCATCTTTATTTTCCGTTGCTGTGTTTATTGTGTTGCACAGCAGCTGACCTACATGCTGTAAAGTGTGACATTGCAACAAGGGTGGGAGGGCACCGAAAGGTCGGCGCCAAACTGTGTGGAAAAGGCGAGCTGTCCTCCCCATGTGCTCCATCAATAAATTAACCCATTAAAAACTGACCATTACGAACCTGATTCTGGCTCACCCTACACACAGAGACGCTTACATCATCCTGCTAATGACAGGAAGTGAGGCAAACTTAATCAACGGGCATTCACCCGGCGTGTGAAGAGAGCTTGTATAGGGAGAGGTGAGGGAGAGAGATCAGAGGATTTAATTATGATTGGTTAATTTTCGCTGAATAAATTGGAATACCACTCACAATGTTTACCAAAAG